CCTGCGCGCGGGTGTCGCGCTGCTCGCCGCGTGCCAGGCCTCCGAAGTCGAGGAGGAGGTGGCGGTGCGCGAGCAGCTTTGGAAGGGCCCACCTGACGGAGATGGTCAAGGCTGGCCGCGCGGGCGTGCAGCCGCGGCCGTCGGGGGCCAGCCGCGCCTTCCGCGGCTGGGCCCAGCGCGCCGAGTTCGGCGGAGGGCCCCGTGATGTGCCTGCCACGGCGCGCGATGCCAGGCGCCGCGGGAGGGGCCGTCGCCGCGGCGCTGGCGACGCTGAGTCGGCGGGGGCGGCGGACGCGGCGGGCACCGCGACCACTGACGACCTGGAGGCAGTGAAGGGGCAGCTCGAGGAGGGTCGGGAGGTGAGGGTCCCGTTGAAGCCGGTGGAGAAGAAGAAGGGGGAGATGAAGAAGCTGGTCTTCCAGTGCGCCCCTGGTGACAAGGCCACCGACGAGGTGAAGGTGGTGGCATCGGCCATGGGCGAGTTGGCCCTGGCGAGAACACGGCTCAACAACGGGGAGACCAAGATCGACTCCGAGAAGCTCAAGGACGCGAATGCCCCCAAGGTGACGGCCCAGCTGGTCACGGACTGCCGCAAGGTGGACTGCAGCCACATGGGCGATGGCGCTTATGATGGCGTCGCGGTCAAGGTTGGCGACGACGACGTGTTCGCGGAGTGCAGCGTTGTGAGCCTCTCTGTCGATCCCGTCAAGTGCAAGGGCAGGCGTCTCGAGGCCGATGCCCCTGGAGGTCGTGCGCAGGAGCGGCTGGCCGCGGCCGTGGCGGCCCAGGCGGCAATCCTGAGCGGCGATCTGGCCGAGGGGCTGCGGCTTCTCGAGGCCGAGTGAGTGAGTGAGTGAGTGAGTTAGGCGTGCTGTTGCATTCTTTTTTGTAGATCTGTCTCGCCTCGGAAGGGGGGGGGGGGGCGTCTGAGGGGGTGGCCCTTCCGCCTGCCCGGGCCCGCTGGGGCCGCCCCGTTTAGGTTTCGTAGGGATTTCCCCTTTTGCCTTGAAGGCCCCGTCGTTCACTTTGAGTTTAACGCACAGGAGCACGAGGAGCGCGGCAGAACACACAGAATACACAGGAGCACGGCAGAGCACACAGGAGCACGGCAACACACGCAGATGCACGGCAGACCACGCAGAACAGAAAGGAACACGGCAGAACACGCAGGGGCACGGCAGAACACACAGGAGAACGGCAGAACACAGGAGCAGGAGGAGCACGGCATAACAAACAGGAGCGCGGCAGAACACGCAGGAGCATGGCAGAACACACAGGAGCACGGCACAACACACAAAACACATAGGAGCACGGCAGAACAAGCAGGAGCCCGGCATAACCACGGCAGCACACACAGGAGCACGGCAAACACACACTTTTGCACGGCAGAGTCGGCGGCAGAACACACAAAACACATAGGGGCACGGCAGCGCAAGCAGGAGCGCGGCAGAACGCACAGGAGCACGGCAGAACACACTTTTGCATGGCAGAATTGACGGCAGAAGGCAGAACACGCAGGATCACGAGGAGCACGGCAGAACACATAGAGTACATAGGAACACGACAGAACACACAGGAGCACGGCAGAGCACATAGGAGCGCGGCAGATCACACAAAACACATAGGGAGCACATTATAATTTTCAGGAGCACGGCGCAACACATAGGAGCGCGGCAGCGCAGGACCATGGCAGAATACACAGGAGCACGGCAGCAAATGCAGGAGCACGGCGGAACACACATAATGTTTATTCACACAGCCACACCCACAGGCACACGCACATAGATAGGCACACGCACACAGGCACACGCACACGGGCACACGCCCCCTGGGACCATCCGGGGACCCGTTGGGGCCCCGGGGGGAGGCGGCATTTTGACCCGGGACCCTCCCCGTACCACCCCGCTCCACCTTCCCACCACCCGTCAGGGCTGGGACACAGGGGAGGGAATCGACTTGATTACGACGTTTCTTTTCCTTGTGTCTCAATTTTCTTGAGACTGGCGACGACGAAGACGACGAGGACGACGACGACGACGCATTGCTTCGCATTGCATTGCATTGGTTTGGATTGCTTTGCGTTGCATTGCTTTGCGTTGTTTCGAAGTGCTCTGTAATATGTTGCATTGTTTCGCATGGCTCTGCATGGCTTTACATTTCTTGATGTTTCTCTGCGTTGCCCTGTATTGCCCTGTATTGCTTTGCGTCGCATTGCATTTATTGCGTTGCTTTGCATTGCTTTGCCTTATTCTGCATTGCTCTACCCCCCCTGTCGCATTGCAGTTCATTTCGTTGCATTGCGTTGCATTGCAGCGCATTGTAGCGCATTCCATGTCATTGCGTCGCATTGCTTTGCATTGCGTCGCATTGCTTTGCATGGCGTTGCATGGCTTCGCATGGCTTTGCATGGCTTTGCATGGCTTTGCATTGCTTTGCGTTGCTTTGCGTTGCTTTGCGTTGCTTTGCGTTGCTGTACGTTGTGCGGCGTTGTTGTGCGTTGCTCTCCGTTGCTTTGCATCGCAGTGCATTTCGTTTCAGTTATGTGCATTGTTCTGCATTGCATCGATTTACGTTCCATTGCGTTGCAGTGATCTCCAATGTGTTTGCATTGCGCTGTGTTGCTTTGCGTTGCATTATGTTGCTGTGCATTGCTTTGCGCTGCGTTGCATGACTTTGGAGCCGGTCTTGCATTGCTGGTCACGACAAAAATTGCACCACATGGATTGCACGGCCTAGATTGCACCGCGCTATTTGCACCAGCTAGGTTGCACCGCCTGCATGGCAGTAGCATCACTGATTGGGGCCCATGTATTTGCATGCGTGTATGCATGTATGTACGTATGTTTGTTTGTTTGTATGTTCCCCAATCAGATCTTGCCTCTGTAGGGGTCCTAGCGGATTCATATGGTTAGGTTAGGCTCGTCGCCGATTTTCGCGGCACGCCCGGGTGCCCGGGTGCCCGGGGGTGCCCGGGTGCCCGGGGGTGCCGGGGGGTGCCCAGGTGCCCGCGGGTGCCCGGGCGTGCCTGAGGGTGCCCTGGTGCTCGGGTGCCCTGGTGCCCGGGTGCCCGGGCGTGCCCGTGGTGCCTGGGGGTGCCCGGGGGTGCCCTATAGCCCAATTGCCCTATAGCCCTACAACTCTATAGACATATAGCTCTATAGCCCTTAGCTCAATATTCATAAGGTTAGGTTAGGTTTGCCGCCGATCATATGGATCTATGTATATGTGTGTATGTGCACGCATCTCTCTCTCTCTCTCTCTCTCTTTCTCCCCAGCCTCGTCATTCAACTCGGGTGCCCTTATTCTCCTTTTGTCTTTTGGCTGTCGTGCTCCGCACAGCCTACCACGACTAAGTCCTGGCACTGGGTGGAGGCCTGTATAAAGCATGGTGTAGACAGCGATCAATTATAGAGATTTGGCCTCCGTGAGCTTCATGGGTAAGCTTTCGATGCCCCCGCGTGTGTTTTGCTGCTGCCTGGCTCAGGCGTTATGCTCGCCTCCATTGTTCTCAGCCCTCATCGTTCCTCGACGTGGATAGGAACTAGCAGAGACAGCGACACGAATAGGGGGATCAACATGAAAAGAGAGGAAGTGGGGGGAAGGAGGTGAAGGATGAGGCCGAAGGGAAGAGAGGAGAAATAATATCAAGACTCAGGAGTCGCAGCTTTATCGGGAGGAGCATCATCAGCAATTGGAGAGAGGTCCAGGAGGAGGATCACCAGTAGTTGGATTGTGAGGAGGAGCAGCAGGAGGAGGAGGATCGAAGAGCACGAGGATCTGCAGCAGCAGCAGGAGCAACGGGACAGAGCAGGATTGAGGAGGAGGAGTATCGAAATGGAGGAGGGAAGACAAGGAGGAGGAACGCTGAGGAGGAGAAGGATCGATGAGGCATGTTGAGTTTTGCGTCCGCCCAAGGTGTCCCCTGGAGGACCTAGAGGCCTCCGAACGTCAAACAAGTATGCAAAAGGGTCCCAGACGTCCAACTACTTTTGGAAAACGACCAAAGCCCTTCCGAAAATGCCCGAAAAGCTTTGCGACAACCTTCCTCCCTCCTCGATCCCTGAGGGTCGGAGGCGCTTTTTGTACTCGGTCCTGTCCACCTTCCCCGCGGTCTTCATTTGCGAATGATCGATGAGGAGCAGGATGAGGTCCGAGGAGGAAAAGGAGGAATGATAATAATGAGGATCGAGCATCGAAGAGCAGGAGGAGGTTAAGATGAGGAGGAGGTTAAGATGATGATGATGATGATGATGATGATGATGATGATGATGATGATGATGATGATGATGATGATGATGATGATGTTGATGTTGATGTTGATGATGATGATGATGATGATGATGATGAGGAGGAGGAGGAGGAGGAGGAGGAGGAGGAGGAGGAGGGGTCGAGGAGGAGGAGGAGGAATATTGCGGGATACGGCGGCAATCCAGATCGGCGCGTGCTCTGGAGAGCTGGCGCAGACCGTGAGCAAAGGCGTGGAAACGTATTCCGACACCGCTGGCGCGACCTCTCACGGCCAGGCACACAGGGAGCCAGCACCTGGGCAGCAAAAACACAGGCACACCCCAAGCATAACCATGGGCCACCGAGGCGCCCACGGCGTATGCGCTCCCTGCCGCCCCCTACAGCCCGGCGGGGGGCCTGGCGGAAGGCCCACACAGTCAAACACTCGCGTCAGAGGGTTCACGCCTCGCGCCGCGGATGCGCTTCCTGCCGCCAGGGTTTCACTAAATCAGCCCGCACGGTAGAGGGGAACCCGCCGTCCCGACGCGGTACCTCACATGGTGCAGCAAAGAGCTGCGGAAGACCGTGCCTCCGCCCGCGCGCGCCCCCGTGGCCGACAGGGGTGCCCCAGGAAGGGGAGGAGCACCAAGCGGCACAAAGCAAGGGACCCCGAGCCATGGGAGGCGAACTCGGTAGCGGGGCGTATCTTCATCCCTTCTCAGAGGAGGACCGAGCAGGATCTAGGAGGAGGGGGAGGAGAATGAGCAGGAAGAGGATCGATTGCCAAGTGTTGTGTCCGCCTCATGGAGGTCCCCACAGATCCCGTAGCCATTTTGGCTCAAGCCATTTTGGCTCAAGCGCTGCTTGGCCCCCCCCGCGCCCGCTCTCTGTCTCCGCGCCCTCTTCTTCCCTCCGATCGTCAGGCCAGCGCTGCCCGTGGAGCCCCAGAGCTGGGGCGCGTCTGGCGGAAGCTGCGGGGTCACCGTCATTCGCGCAGGGCGCGCCGGTCTCGGCGCGCAGCTGGCTCCGGACCCTGCTCGCGGGTTCCCGCATCAAGTTCATCGTGTTTCAGTTCTTCGTGTTGAGTTTCGTCGACATCTTGATTGTGAAAATGATCTCTCTGGAGGTGCAGGCTATGATCCAGGCTGCTGCCCAATCGGCGGCCGAGGCGACGGCGGCGAAGGCCGCCCACCTGGCGGCAGTAGAGGCCGCGGAGAAGGCCGTGCAGGGCGTGATGGCCCGGGTGAAGTCCATCGCGGAGGAGGCCGTGAAGACGGCGCTGGACCCCATCAACGAGAGGATGAGCAAGCAGGACGCGGAGATCAGGGAGCTCCGGACTTCGATGAGCAGTGCAGCGTCGGTGGCAAGCAGCGCTTCTGGCGGAGTGCGCAACCCGTATGGCGACGAGTTCGTGCCGAAGTACGTGGAGATCAAAGGCTTCATCCTGGACTGGGATGATCCGGAGGCGTCGGCCATGTACGGACGGGCCGTCACGGACTACCTGCTCCGGCTACAGCAGCAGCTCCCGGAGGGCATGGTGGCCATGATCGACACGGAGAAGACCAACGAGGAGATCGCGAAGCGCACCTTCCAGTACAAGATATGCCTCTTCCTCAAGGACGCGTCCTGGGAGACGGGGCGCAAGTTCAAGAAGACCGTCTCGGCGGTGGTCTCGGGGCCAGGGTGGACCATCAACGGGAAGCAGGTGATCGTCGGCATCGAGGGCTCCCCGGACACCAAGCCGACGACGGCGGCTGCAGGCAAGTTCTGGTCCCTGCTCGAGAGGGAGGGCGTTGACAAGAACAAGGTCAAGATGGAGTACGGTTGGAAGGACAACAAGAGGGCCCTCACGGTGTACACGAAGGCTCTCGACGGAACGAGGCCTGTCAAGGTGGCCAAGTTCGTCGACTCGCGGGGCTGGGCCGTTTTCGGCCCCTGCTGGCAGATTCTCTGCCCCGGATCAACCGAGCAGGACGCGCTGGGCAAGCTGCGCTGACCCAGACCGCGGGCAAGGAGGTCTGCACCGAGTGCGGGCGAGGGGCTCCAGCTGGTCAGCTGGAGCGTGGGACGGCTCGCAGCGGCCAATGCGGGCGCAGCATTAGACATGCTCTCGAGCTACATAGGCAGTCAACATTTTGTAGCGTGCGTCCAGGAGGTCGGGGGGTGGCCGCCGGGAAGGGGGATAGAGGTGCTCGGCTGGCGGATCATGCACGACGCAGAGTCGTACGTTGCTCTTGCTTGGCCGGTGCTTCTTGATCACAAGGTTCAGTCCAAATACATGTCCACGTCGAGATGCTGTTGTGTCCGCATTGCGGGCGTGCTGGTATCCGGAGTGTACTTGCCAGACAGCTCCAAGGGTGTCGCCGAGTACTTGGAAGAGACATCGTCTGCCTTTTCTTTCATGGAGGAGTACAAGAGGAAGGAAGGCTGTGTGGGAGGAGGAATACGTCATGGGCAGGAGGTGGAAGACGAGGGCGATGTGGAGGAAGGGGGCGGGCACAGGGCAGGGCAGGACAAGGCGAGAGCGGGACATCGGATCATCCTCGGGGACTTCAACGTACAGATCCCGTCCTTAGATGAGCAGCGCACGGGGTACCACAGGAGCGGGGTGAACGTGGAGTGGGCAGTCGGGGAGGAGCACAGGAAGCAGGACGTCATCGTTGAGTACATCATGCGTCGTCGTCTGGTCGTCGGCTCCACCTTCCTGGTCCCCGGGGCGCCCCTGGAGACGCACTTCCACCATAACTCCGTCTCGTCATCCATCATCGACTACGTCTTGCATTCATCTTCATTGCAGGGCCGGTGCGACGTGGCCAACCGCCGGGAGTGGCGCATCCCAGGTTCGGAGGGGCGGCGCGACCACGTACCTATCATCTTCCAGGCGCTCGGCGTCGTCACGGGCAAGGGCTTTCGGGTGCCACCCAAGCGCTGGACGGGCTGGCAGGCGCGAGACCCGGAGGCCGAGGCTACTTTCAGAGAGCTCGCAGAACAAGGGCTGGGCCAAAACGACTTGTGTCTGTCCGCCTTGGGAGAACATGTCCACAGGGCTGCCGCTGCCGTCCCGCACGACACCAAAAACGCCCGCCGGCGGAAGGTTTACGAGAAGCCGGCGGCAGTAAAACAAGCCGAGGACAGACTACGGGCTGCTTTGGACGGACCCGCTGAGACTAAGCGAGCTGCTCGACAGGAAGTGCGGAAGGTGACCCGACTGTGGAAGCGGGAACTCCTCCGTGCCAAATTCCCCAGCCAACGGCGGAAACACAAGCAGGCTGTCGTGGATGCTCTCCAGAACGCTGACGGCGACCTGGTGTACAGCAGAGAAGATTGGGCGCCCATCGTAAAGGAATTCTGCACCCGGAAGTACCACGACCCGCGGGAGACGCGCCAGACGCAGGATGATCGTATCGACCAGTACCTGCGACGAGCTACGAAAAAAGAGCAAATGGGCCGCCGGCAGCCGCGCATGCAGTGGCACCACATATTGCAAGCCCGCGCGCGTCTGAAATGCGGCAGTTCTCCTGGGGAAGACCGGGTCACGGCAGAGATGATCAGGGCATTACCCACCACTGCAGTTTACCACGTGTTTGGATTGTTCAGTAGCCGGTACGAAGGGGGCATCGGCGACCCTGTGGGCCCCTGGACCACCATACTGATGACCTTTCTCCAGAAGGTGCCACACGCCACGAAGATGTCCGACTACAGGGGCGCCTGCATGCTGAGTGTGATCTACAAGTGGTATATCAACACGCTGGTGGAGATGCTCGAGGAAGGGGACGACACCGCAGGCGTCTACCGGCAGGTGGTTCTCTACGGGTTCGTCCCAGAGGTCGGCTGCGCACACCTGGTGGCTCCACTGCGCAACGTGCTGTCCATGGCGCACGAGTGGCATGAGCAGAGCGCCTTCAATCGCTTCTCTGGGGACGTTCCCCAGGCGTTTGACTTCATGCGGAACGACCTGGCGGGCACAGCTCTGAGCAAAACTGGGACGCCAAGCCGGCTGGCGGCCGCCTTCCTCCGGGAGGGCCGCGACCTCGACATGCACTGCTTGTTCCCGCCGTTAGAGGAGGCGCCGGAGGTGGCGTACACGCGGTGCGCCCAGACCGGCGGGACCGACGGCACAGTGAAGTGGAATGCAGTCACACGCTTTGCTTTCGGTATGGTTTTGCCGCATTGGAACGAGCTGCACTACGGCGTCCGTGCCGGCGGCAAGTGGCACACTCACGCCTGCTACGCGGACAATTGGTTCTTGTACGCCGCCTCGCACAAGCAGCTGCACGATATGGTGGTCACACTGACGGGGGCCATGCTCTCACTGGGACTGTTCTGGAAGCTCTCCTCGATGCGCGTCCTCACACCAATGCCTGGAAACAAAATGTGGCACTGACAAGTACCCCAGCCCGAGGACGAAATCTTCGCGGCGAGGCCACAAGGGTACACAAGTGTCACAGAGGCTCCCGGCAACCGCGCGTTGCCGGTCCGTGCTGTCGTTGGAACGTGGCTTGTACCCGAAGTCGAGGAGACGATGGTGCTGGGCACGCTGCTGCACCGCACGGGTGCCGCAGCCAACGCAGTACAGCACAGAGAGCGCCTCGCTGTCAAGGCCTTCTACGCCACCACTGCGCTCCGATCGCGGGAACTGTCTCTGCAGGAGAGCGTCTCGCTGTACTCGGAAACGGTGCCGGCGACGCTGTTGTTCGGCTGCGAGAGTTGGGTGCTCACGAACTCACTGGTGCTCCGCCTCAAGCAGATGGAAGGGGGCATGCTGCGCAAGATGGCCGGCGTCCGCAAGAAACCAGGAGAAGCCTTAGCTAGATACCTGCGTCGAGCCACGAAGTCGGCGCGGAAGCAGTATTTGGCTCTCGGGCATAAGAGTGTCGAGGAACGGCTTCTGGAACGACAACATGGTTTCGTGCTCGACAGTTTCGGGCGTGCTGACGCGGTGCGGAGGCAGGTGTCTGCTTTCATGCACCATCTACCTGAGACTCAGTGGCGCGACGAAGTCCAGGTCGTCCGACTTGTGCGTAGCTGGTCGAGGGTGCCGTGGAATCAGATCAAGGAGAAACCGCGGTGGCGGCATCGCACCGGCTGGAAACGTGTGGCGACGTACGAAGACTGTTTCATCCACTGGCGCGGCCAGACATGGCGCCAAGACATCCTGAATACAGCACAGCACACGAGGGGGGATTTTGTCACCGCCGTCCTGGAGCGCTACGGTATGGGAAGCAAACACTTGGCTGCCCTGCGTCGTCGCCAGCACAGAGCCCCAGCGGAGCTTCCGCCACGGCCGCCACGCGCCGTGAGGTTCACAGAGCCCACACGATGGACCAGACAGAGCCCAGCGGAGCCGCTCCTGACCATCCAAGGGGACAGCCAGATCGTGGTCGACTGGGTGGAAGGACGCGCCCGCTGCAGGAACCAAGCGCTGCTACCGATTCTCCGCGACGCACAGGAGATCTTGGGGCAGACGTTGGTCCGGGGAGCGAGGCCGCCGCAGGTGGGACAGTGCTTGGTGCACCACGTGTACCGTGAGAACAACAAGACAGCGGACGCCATGGCCACGCGCGCAGTGGCGGAGCCCTGTCCCTGCGCATGGGGCTGGCACAGGCGCTGCTATGGCAGCCGGCTTGGCCGTGGCGCCTCTCCGCTGCCTTCGACGGCGGTCGCAGAGGCACGCACGCCGGCTGCGGCTGGGCCATCTGGGTCCAGGCCCCGGATCGGCAGCGCCCTCTCCTCCAGGGGTTCCGCTATCTGGGGGACAAGACGGCCCCAGAGGCGGAGTTGCGCGGCTGCCAGATGGTGCTGGGTGAACTCCATCGGCTTCTGCAATGTCGACATTGGGCACAAGTTCTTGCAGTATGCGACGAATGACGCCGTGACCGCCCTGGCGCACGACGGAGAGCCGCAGGCTAACCACCAGAACGAGGGTTGCATTGTCGTCATCAATTTCACGATCTACTTGTTCATTTTCATCATCATTGTCGGTGTTTTCACCAGTTGTCTCCGTTATCTTCGTGCTTTTCTATATGGTCTGAGTGCCCTGCGCGGTCGCCGCGCGAACCGGGCTTCCACCACCACCACCGCCAGAGGCCCCCAAGTGGCCACAAGCGTCAGAAAGTCTTATTCATCGATCCTCGAGGGTGGAAGGCAAAACTCAACACCTCATCTAGAGGAGAAGCACGAATATCTAGAAGGAGGAGGAGGAGGGCCGATGAGGAGGGGGATGACGAGGAGGAGGAGGAGGAGGAGGAGGAGGAGGAGGAGGAGGGAGGAGGAGGAGGAGGACTGAGGAGGATAGTAGGATTAGGAGGAGGAGGAGGAGGAGGAGGAGGAGGAGGAGGAGGAGGAGGAGGAGGAGGAGGAAGTGAACGAGGAGGAGGAGGTGGAGAATGAGCGGGAGGAATAGGAGGGGAAACCAGAACGAGGATGATCGGGATGGAAGAGGATGGCGACAACGATCGATTAGGAGGAGGACAGGGAACGGGGCTGGATGATGGTCGAAGAAGCAGAATGATCATGAGGAGGAGGAGAAAGAGGTGGAGAAGGAGGAGGAGGAGGAGGAAGAGACAAAACAGGAGGAGGAGGAGGAGGCGCAGGAGGGTGGCTCGAATTTCGGGTGGAATCCAGCCGTGGCACTGCCCAAGACCTCGACGCTCGAACCTCGAATCTCGTCCCCAACCCTCTGTACTTCTCTCCCTCCTCGCTGCGCGGCCACGTCCCCGCCGACCCGCGCGGAGGGCCAGAGAGGCCACCTAGGTTTCCAGCGATTGCCGCCAAGGCACAGTATCGAGGCCTGCCGGCGTTTGCCCCTTGCGTGCGGCCCTTCGGCGGCCTTTCGGTAGCCTTTTGGTGGCCGCTCGGCGGCCGGTCGGAGCCCTTCGCTCGGGACGCTCATGATTTTGATGCAGTCGTCGACCTCGTCCTCGCCCTCGTCCTCGTCCTAGTCCTAGTCCTAGTTCTTCTCATCATCATCCTCCTCTTCCTCCCCTTTCTGCTCGAAATCTTCGTCCTCCTAAGCCCCTATTCGGGGTCATTGTCGTCGTCCCCGCCACCCACGCGCGCTCCCGCGCGCGTCATCTTCCTCCTCGTCGCCCTCCTCCATTCCCACGAGATAGTGAATTTTTTGGAAACAATGGAAATGTATACGTAGCCACGACGCAAGTCTATCCCACGACACTGGCACCTGAGTGCGCTGAAGACAAATGGCAGGGGGGCAGGATGCATTCCATATGCTACGGGGCGCCAAGACACGGACAGCACGAACTGAGGGCTCCTAGCCCTTCCGCGCAGGCCTCCAAGGGGCCCCGCTGCCAGCAGCAGCACGGCTCGCTCGCTCGCCTCACCTCCCCTTTCCCTATTTTCATTATTATCGTCCTCGCTCCCGCCTCATCCTCCCCCCCTCTTCCCTCCTTCGAGGAGGAGCAAGACAAGGAAGAGGACTGCGACGACGCCGACGAGCATGGCGAGGCGCCCAGTCGCCTCCCCAGGGGGGGGGGCCGGCGGTGCGCTCCTCCTTTGGTCCGCGCCCGCGGCCTGTTTTCGGTCTTGGCTGCATCCGGAGGTTTGCGAGATGCGAGGAGGCTGCTGGGACGCAAGGACAGCTCGGGCCAGCGAGCGAGGAGAGAGGAGGAGGCGAAGGAGGAGGAGCCGGACGGAGTGGGAGGACGAAGAGGGGGGGGAGGAGGAGGAGGAGGAGGAGGAGGAGGAGGGAGGAGGAGGAGGAGGAGGAGGGAGGAGGAGGAGGAGGAGGAGGAGGAGGAGGAGGAGGAGGAGGAGGAGGAGGAGGAGGAGGAGGAGGAGAGGAGGTGGAGGAGGAGGCGGAGGAGGAGGAGGGGGGAGCAGAAGGAGGGACGGTTGGAGGAGGAGGAGGAGGAAGGAGGAGGACGGGGAGGAGGAGGAGGAGGAGGAGAAAGGATCGAAGTTAACCCCAGGATTGCCAACGATGTTGCAGGACCCCCTCCGGTCCCAAGTCCTCTCCCCATCAGTCATTCAGTGCTCTTCTTCACAGCGCGAAGCGCCCCCCATGAAAGACGAGCGCCCCATGGGTCCGCAATCCAGGCCAGAGCTCCGTTTGATGAAAACAACCACCCATTTGCCGAGCTATGAGGCGTGTGGGAAGGTGGCTATTCAGTTTCACGGAAGTGCTCGGCACCAGCCCCGCTTTGAAAAGAGGAACCGCCACCCTCCATCCGTGTAACTGGCACACAATGCTGCACGACTGTGCGCGGCGCTGGAGCGAGAGCCGCACTTTGAAAGCCGCCGGCCCTGCACCCGTGAAACTTTTGAAAGGTTTCGAGACGAATGTGAGCTGCGCTAGCGCGAGAGCGTCATTTTGAAAACCATTGACCCTCCATTCGTTCGACTTTGGAAGCTTGTCCCTCCCGTGTGCCTGGCGCTATTACGAGAGCCACATGTTGAAAGCTATCGCGACGAATGAGCGTCGCGCTACGGCGAGAGCCACAGTTTGAAAGCTACCAGCCTTCCATCTGTTAATTGTTAGGTTGTTAGGTGGCTTTTCTTTAGAAGAAGTGTGCGCGGCGCCAGTGCGAGAGCCACATTTTGAAAGCCACTGGTCCTCCATCCGTGTAATTGCGGGTTTGCTCAAACGAATTGTGTGCGGCGCTGGGGCGAGGGCCACATTTTGAATACCACGGGGTCTCCATCCGCGTCGCTGTTGGAAATGCTATTTCCCATGAAGCGAAATGCCGGGGCCAGCCTACAGACACGCCTGGTGCTGCGACAGGGGTGAGTTGATGTTGGGGTACAGGAGGAGGACGAAGAGGAAGGAGGGAAGGAAGGGGATGCAGGAACAATGGGACAGGAGGTGGGAGAAGAAGGGGACGGGTGGCTACAGTTGGAGGCGATGTCGGGCTGCACTGCAGTGACGGTGGTGGCCCGCGGCCTACAGACCCGAAAATTCGGGCCAGCGGGCGGTCGAGAGCCAGAGGGCCTGACATTGAATCACGTTTTATACTGCCGTGCGAGTGTGCAGACTGCGGAAGACGGCGCAAGCGCCGGTATAGGGTTTGATCCGTGCCCGCAGGTGCTCCGAGTGTATCTTGAACCCCGAGATGGCACAGATACGCTTGTGCTGGATAGGACAGAGGTGGAATAATGGGCAGTCCTCCGACGAGCCAGGGTGGGGTGGCCCGCCCTCCTGACGCGAGCGTCATCGGACGCCGTGCGTCTCGCCATCCTAGATCCTAGACTCGACCGCGACCGTGCGGCTTGGCCCGTTCGTCGACGACGTGCGATGCCTGGTCTCGTCCCGAGGCCAGTGTGGCCTGGCGGCTGCTGCAGACGGCGGCTCGGAGGCATCGCAGCCGCTCGCGCCACGGGCCAACGAAGTCCGCTGCCCTGGCCAGCGGGATAAAAGACACCAGGCCTGCGGCTTGGTCAAATTCGCGGATGGCTGCACATTCCTGGGCGTGGACCGTGATTCTGGGAGCCCGATCAAGCGCACCTGCGCTCGTGCCTGGTAGCGGCGAGGCAGCTCGGAAGACAGCCCATCCACGCCGTGCAGGACCACGGTTTTCCCTTCCAATTGCAAGTGCAGCTCCTGCGGGCGTGCACCTGAGCAGATGCCCTTTGGGGCCTGGAGCTGTGCATCCACCTGCCCTAGTTCGACAGGGAGGTCAACGGGGGCTCAAGAAGTGGCTGCTTGGCCTCGCTGGGCAGGTGGCCCGCATCAGGATACTGGATGCCCTTGGTTGGCAAAAGAAGTGGTCCCCGTACTATCGAGAACCAGATTGGCCCTCGATGTGCACAGGCGCGGACGGTCCTGAAGATCACCGGGGCAGTCCAAGGGTCCTGGGCAGCGGCGGTGGCGGCGCTTCTTGGACGCCTTGGACCCCGACTCCCAGGAGAGCCCCAGAGCCGCGGCAAGGCCAGCAGCCGACGCCTACTGCTGGGCTTCCGGAACTGCGCGCGCCGCCGTCTGCGCGCGCTCATGGAACAGCGCGTGGCTGGCAGCGCCGTCGCAGGTGCGCGCCTCATCTCCTAGCTCTGGCGGGCTGCTCGGGAGAGGAGATACAGGCGTGGGCGCGGCTGGCGCTTCAGGGAGTTCTGCAGAGCGACAGGAGGCGCCAGAGACACCAGGCCACCTCGTGGGGCAATGCCCAGCTCTCCCAGAGGCGCACAGCAGCATGGACCTCATCTTCGGCGCGCCTCCAGTGGAGGGTACTGCAGGGGCGGCGGCGGCGGACGCATGGCTCCAGCGGCGCTGTGAGGGCGCCTTAGGCGATCTGGCCGTGCCCCGGAGCCGCTCCTAGCCGCTTGCCGCGCATCAGGCAAGCCACGCGGGCACTGTGGACATCTGTCCGTTGCCCTCGCCCATCTCGGCCGCAGCCCGCCCGCTCGCCCGGGCCCTGGGGCTTCGGATGGTCGGCCCTGGGGCAGACGGTGACCAGGCGTCTTAAGTGTGTTTTTTTAAGGCCGATTTGGTACACGTAGGACGCCTGCCTGCTCGCTGGGTCCCAGGGCAGCGGGTCTGGGGGGTCTGGGCCGGGTTGTTGGGGGGTGGGCGGGGTCTGGAGGAGGCGGGTTTTTGGGTCCAGGGCCCGGGGTGTCGGCCACGCCCGTGGCGCTGTGCTCCCTCGCGTTCCGTGGCCCGTGGTCCTGGGGTCCAGCCTCGCTCGCGTGCTCCCGTGCTGCCTCGTGTCTCGTGGCCCCTGGCCCGCTGGCTGGTGCCGGCTTCTTGCCCTTGCGTGGCCGTGGCTGTTCGTAGCCCCCGTTGCCCGTGGCCTCGCACAGGGATGTCCAATGCATGTTTGTCCGCCCTGCCCTCCCCCCTCCCCTCTTCCTCCCTTTCCCTCCTGCCTGCCCTCCTGCGTGGCCTCCCTTGCATCCCCTGGCCGGGGATGAAGATCCCCCTCGTGAGGCCTTGGAACGAACCAGTACCTGTGTGGGCCGACGACCTTCTCTTGGGCATGGCGCGGCAATGGCCCGATTGTTGGCGCCTCATCCGCGGCTTCCAGCGTGTACGAAGCCCCTCTGGAGCCCCGGAGGCGGCCGGCCTGCAAAGACCCGCTGCCCCATGCTTGGGGAGTCTGGCTTAGGAGGAACGGGCGTTCGGCGCCCAGGAGTCAGCATCAGCGCATGAGCGATGTTTCGTAGGTCCCTTGCCAGCGTGGCCTTGGTGGGGGGGAGGCGCCTGGCGCGACTGTCGTGGCCCGACAAGCGGAAAAGGAGGAGGAGGATGAGGTCGAAGCCCTGGGAGAGTCGTCCTGGGGTACCTTGGGACAGCACAGGGTTCTCAGGACATCTTTGGACATCTCTGGGTGGCGGAGTATCTCAGGGCACCAAAAAAGCCTCCAGATATCTCAGGACATCCCGAGGATCGACGATCAAGATTCGAGGGTAACGATCGAAGTTCGAGGTTGTTACCATGACATCCAAGGGGATGGTGTGCTAATGACAGCTGGGATAGCCCAGAAGAGGTGGGCGGTTACGCGTACGCGTGGGCATCGCGGGCTCCGCATTTTGAGGCCGAACTCGAGACGGATGAATACAAGGGCGAGGAAGAATAGGTGGACGACGACGACGATGAGGAAGGAGAGGACAATGAAAGCAATGAACCAGTAGGAGGGCGATGATGGGGACGAGAATGGCGAGACAGGGGAAATGGAGGCTGACGAGAGGACTAGGCCGGAGAAGACCACAACGAAGATGAGTAACGAGGTTAGTGTAAAGCATCTTTTCCCATCACATGGCCACAGTTGATTCTCAGAGGCGAAGCGCTCGAAGCCTTGAGCGAAATGATCCCCGTGTAAATCACGAGGTGGAGAGGGGGGGACGATGACGTCCCTACGTGTAGCATCACGCTGCGCCTTGGCGAGGAGGCGAGAAGACGGACAAGAAAGGGGATGCGCATGAGGAGGAGAGGGAGGCGGAGCATGAGAAGGATGAGGAAGAAAAGGAGGAGGACGACGACGACGACGAGGTTGAAGACGGACCGGGAGAACTACGACGAAAAGAAGTAAACAATCTTATGTCAGCTATCGTTTCGCATCACGAGGCCGCAGCCACTTCCCAGGGGAGAGGGGCAGGAGGCGTACGGGGAGGAGGAGGACGACAGACGGACGACGAACATGAGCAGAGAAGGATGGACAGCAGAGAGTGGCGTTCGGACTCGACGAGCCGGCGCAGACGTGGCGACGACGAGGGGGGACACCCCGGCAGCGCCATTGCCGCAGCCTCCGCGTAGACCGCCGGGCAGCGCGGCCTCCGCATTCTTGGCCTTCTCCCTCGTTATTTGTCTTCTCTCCTCGTCGGCTCCTCTTCATCCTCAGCCTCCTTCCTCATCCTGTTTTTCTCCAGCCTTCTCATCCCTCCCTCCGCCTCCTCCTCCACCATGTCCTTTCCTGCTCGTTCCGTGTCCTCTCTTCGCACTACACTCCTCCTCTCCATTATTTGTTGTTAGCATTGGTTGTTAGTTTTCTTCTTCTTCTTATTATTTTTATTGGCAGTATTATTGCCATCATGATTATTATTGTGCTTCGTATCTTTATGATTACTATTGTTATTATTTGCTGCTCAGTACCCTTCGTACTTGTATCATTGTTGTTGTTAGTCGTAGTAGCCGTAAAAGTAGTAATAGTAGTAGTAGTAGTAGTAGTAGTAGTAGTAGTAGTAGTAGTAGTAGTAGTAGTAGTAGTAGTGGTAGTAGTAGTAGTAGTAGTAGTAGTAGTAGTAGTAGTAGTAGTAGTAGTAGTAGTAGTAGTAGTAGTAGTAGTAGTAGTAGTAGTAGTAGTAGTAGTAGTAGTAGTAGTAGTAGTAGTAGTAGTAGTGGTAGTAGTAGTAGGTAGGTAGTAGTAGTAGTAGTAGTAGTAGTAGTAGTAAGTCAGTACCTAGCGTCGTAGCCTACCTTTCGTGCACTATTCGCTGTAGAGGCTGTAGATTGGATTCGTATTAGAAAGTGAACAAAAAACGACAGTTTTACACCTGTCCTTCGTGTCGACGTCGGATTTGGAGCAACCGCCACTGCCAGCCGCTTCATTTCGGCACAACCCTCTCGAGGATCGTGGGCCTGGCCCTCCGACGCGCGATTCCGGCGCGCACTTCACTAGGATCGTGGCCCTGGTCCAAGTGGGAGCGCTGCCGAAGGCCCACCGACGTCCAATTCCGGCACGCCGCTCACGAGGATCGTGTCCTGGCCCACCTGGGAGCGCTGCCGACGGCCCACAGATGAGCAATATCGGCGCACCCCTCACACGGATCGTAGACCTCGCCACATTTGGATCGCCGCCCGACGCTGAAGTTCGGCACACCTCTCATA